TCTCATGTGATTTTGTCTTTGAAAATATGAAAATTTAATCTCTGCCAAGAATATTGGTTAATTTATGCAAACTTTACATTTGACCAGAGATGGTACATAGTAATTTTCTCGGTAAATATTGATCTTATGCAAAGTTTTTTCTCCCATGACCACCCCTAAAGAAAACCTTCTAAACATGTCAAGAACTTTAGAAAAGTTATTTCTTTTTGTTTTTGAAAGTTAGAACTATGTTGACATTGCAATTTCAGGGGGGGTCGATTTTAGGATTTTCGTCCTAAATTGAAGAATTGGTACATGTACCATGTTGTTTGTCGTGGTCATTTTACCTCTTCAAGTTGAGATTACTTCTGGTAAACGAAGTGCATACAAACTCTTATACAAGGAGGACCACTAACTCATTCACTACACGTTTGTAATTGATCATGCAGCGTGCATAAATTAAACATTTGTTACTTTTTCAAAACTTGACGTTACTAACGTTACTAACATCCATCTCTTTGTTGCTAAAACGTAACCCTGAGTTAGCATTGGTTAGTAACAAAGTGTTGCACTACGAGTCTACGACAAAGACACACTATGTTTCACCAAAACCAATTTAAAGTCTAATCTCTAATGGTAGAGTCTCACGTTTTCAAACGTCTTTCCATATTTGCTAAATTTCAACATGCTACGGTCGTTTTTTGCATAAAAACAACAGCTTCCATTACTTAACTTTATAAAAGGTTATTTTATATATGCGCAGAAGCACAACACAAACAGAAATACGCGAACAAAAGCAGAAGTAAACTATTTTGAGTTTACTCGATACAGTTTAAACTGTACGTGTTTGGTTGACGTAGGAATATTGTTAATGAAGATATTATCAGTCATTATATTTTACGAGAACTCAATGAATGAGGTATTATGCTTGGATACAGAGCTATTTGGAAGCTTTTGCAATCTAAGTATAACGTGCGTTATTTGGCTATTTAAACTATGCTTATAGAAATCGACCTTGAAGCAACGAGACCTCGACGAGCAAACACACTAATAAGAAGAAAGTATTTGAATCCAAGCCCTAAATACACCTGGTAAGATAAACTTAAGCCGACGGGTAAGATAAACTGAAGCCGTATGACTTTGCATTTAACGGACACACTGACGGCTTTATAATGAAGGACGGCTTTATCGGCTGTAGGATAATTATAATCATAATTATGCGATAACCTATAATTATAAATAAAATTACGCCAAAGGACATCGTGTTGTGGTGAATTGTGCGTGAGAAATTGAGTTACATCAACTCATTTTCTAAAGATGATTGACTTCTAGGCAATGATGTGGAAACTTGGACAGGACATTTTTTATATTTATTTCGGTATTCCAATGAATTTTTTGAAGCATAAGATAACAAAAAGCTCTATCACAAACTTATGTAGGGTGATTTCCCCCCAAATTAATAGCTATATTATGAATTACTAATGCGCATTTTGTCCTTTGCAATGTGCATTTTGTCTTGATCATATTCCATTATGGAATTTCATAATCGGATTTTGTCCTGTACAATTTCTGTTAAATCTCATTTTGTTGTTGAACATTCCATTATGATGACGTAACAATATTCGTGATTCGCAAAACATCAAATTTTACTCAATCACATTATAATTTTTTTATAATTTTTTTTTGATGTGGTAATAATGAAAACAAAATAAACCAATTGTTTTACCTACAAGTCTACAACCCTAAAGAATGGCAGACAAGTTATACTTTGTAAGACTCCTTCGCAACTCTATTTTGGGTTGTATTGCTGACCTGAAAGGAAGTCCAGATCGGAATTTTTACTTTTTTCGTACTGATTCTCTTTACCATACTACGTTGCGATTTGCTGAAGTATTTGAGCTTGAAGAGGCTATTCTGCAGTTAATCTCAAACGCAAAAGAACTTTTAAATGTCGATGTTCATAATGATATTAATCCATCTTCTTCATTGAACTGCCCTCAAATTTTCAATGGCAAACCAGGGCGACCAATGTATGAAGTAAACCAAGATATTCTGCATTATTTTTTGGATAAGTGTTTTATAGTGAAAGATACGGCAAATCTTCTGGGAGTCAGCAAAAGAACCATTGAAAGGAGGATGAACGAGTTTGGTTTATCAGTTTCTAATTGTTATTCTGACGTTAACGATTCAGATTTTGAGTTGGTCATAAGAAACGTAACGAACGAGTTTTCCAATCTTGGCTACAAACGTATGTCAGGATTGCTGTTAGCAATTGGTTCGCGAATTCAGCAGGACAGGACTCGTGAAATGATGCGAAGAGTTGATCCACAGTGTACATTGTTTCGTGTTTTGTCTCTTAGAGCAGTGCTCAGACGTAAATATCATGTTACTAGCCCCTTATCACTTTGGCAATGTGTATGGCAATCACAAATTGATTAGGTAGGCTACTAAAAAATACATATTTTGGGGCGTTAATAAATCTCAGTTTTGCATACAAATGTGCTAATAATTTCATATTTTTAAATGGAGATTTGTGACTCATGCAGGATTAGACGGCTATTCACGTTTGCTGGTATTTATTCGCTGTAGCACAAACAATCGAGCTGATACTGTTCTAAATCTACTTTTATCTGGTGTATCTCAATATGTACTGCCATCCAGAGTAAAAAACAGATAAAGGAGGTGAAAATGTTGGTATTGCTCAATTTATGTCAAACCACCATTTGCGAGAAGCAGGTCGTGGCAGTAATATTACTGGAAGAAGTGTGCACAACCAATAGATTGAGCGCTTTTGCCAAGATCTTTCTGTTGGTTGTACAAATCTTTTTTATCATTTATTCTATCATATGGAAAGTAACGGAATATTGGATCCATCAAATGAAGACCATGTGTTTTCATTGCATTATGTGTTTAGTCCAATTATTAACAGAAATTTGGAAATTTTCCATGATGGTTACAATAGATCTCCCATAAGAACCGAAAGAAATCTATCACCTGAACAGCTTTGGATCCAAGGATCCTGCTTAGACAATAATTGAAATGACCATATACAGCAGGTATTGTTATGCAATAACTCATGACTTTACTTTTAGACTACACTTTACATTATAATCATCAGACGGGATCCAAAGCTAATTGATGTATGTTGAAGTCAGAATCTAATTTAATGTTCCAATTCACTAAGGTAAACCAAGAATTTCCACCACCTTTACACAAAATTATGCAAGTCATGAAACAGATCAGCAGCAAGTGATTGTTCCAGAAACCAACATTCCTTTGAATGAAATAAATCTTAATGAGCTGCAAAGAACCATTAATCCTTTAAGGCCTTCTAATAATAATGGTGCTGACATATACATTGAGGTGCTTCAGTTTGTAAATACCAGATTGCACCAGGAAGACGAGTGACATTGTGAACTCATGAAACAAGAAAAGCTACTTGACCTATTGTTCATTGGTGTCAATTCAGATAATACAAAAGAAGATATGTATGGCAAGGAAGGCTATAAATTTTTCATTACGTCGATTATTCAAACATTTTACAGAAAATGTTTTTTTGGAAATAAATGCTGATGCACTGACAGAACAAAATTTAATGAAACATTAACATATTCACTTTAAGTCTTTAACTATAAAATTGATATCCAAAACAAAGAATAAAAATATTTATTTTCTTTTTGCTTCTTTTCTGACAACTGCGTGATGTGGTAAATAATGTACTCTCTCTGGTTTCTCTAATTCAACCACTTTCTCTATTATTCCGGATTCTAACTGCTCTTTGATTATCTTATATTCGTTTAAGGTGTTTGAGTCTTGTCTCAGTTTCGTCAATTGTCCTTAAGACGTTTCACACTGACGTTTTTGTTTGAGGACAAGGGATTGTGGCCATATAGTTAGGCAATAGTTGGTACTACTTGAGTCAGTCATTTTCGAACGAATAAAAGGATCATTAAAAAAATACATAAATTATGTTGAATTCTTTGTAGCTTTAACCGTTTTGTGCTCATAAAAATTGGAAAAACTGAAAAACAGCAAAAGAAATGAGCAACAGACAGTTTTTCTGGCAACGTGACCTGGCTTGTCGTAAATTTTATCAATTTATCAATAATAATATGGACGATGTAAAACTTATCAGTATAAAATAGTATACGGGAAGAAATTTTCATAAATAATAAAAACAAGTGAAGTATCTTTCTCTTTCTGTAAGCATGAACATTACTAAAGAAGTAAGAGCATGGTAAAATGGGAACTATTTACGTTAAATTACGCACATGCATTTGTCATGGGAAGTTTAAAGCATTGAGTTGCTGAGGAAGACCTTCTTTCCAATCGGGGCAAAGAGGAAACTTTGTAATTTTATATTGTTGAATGTTTAGTATATATGGAGGCTGCAAACGCTGTTTCCGGTTGTTTCAATACGCATTTTTTAATGGTCGCATTTTATCGACACATTTGATTAATGCATTGTAACGCATTGAGTTGAAGTCTTGAAGAGACGAATTGGATAAGCATTTTTTGATTTTAATACTTGTGGTAATAAACCAACGTTTGTCGACAAAAGAATCGTGATTTAGCATCCCGCACAACAGAACGCTTAGGTTGTGCGACAATGGCACTATAAATCTATAATTACCTATCAATGTGGTAATGTATAATTGATGCAAATCGTTCGTGGTTGATTTAAATATTAAAATATAGTCGTTTTGATAGGTAAACAGATCATTTGTGTTTATATGATGAAACGCAATTTGATATACTAAGCATAAATATATATTATCGTATTGTCCAATAGATGAAGCGCTATTTAGCTTATAGTTTCGTTTCACGTTGAATTTTCTTTTCTCAGAAGTTAGAATCGTCTTATATACGGTATAATATCATCTGTGTATCTACTGAAAATGTGAATGCACAGTCAATGAATCCAAGTGGAGGATTATTCTGCCATTTAGTTAAACCTTACAATACAACGAGTAGCTAAACAATACGGCTTTAAAATCAATGTTTTACACAATTTTACTCACCAAATATGATCAAAGCGACTATTTCTTCATTTCCACACTTATTATTTCGTTCCACAACGTAGAGTCACAGTTTTATATTGAAATATTTCTTCAAGTTTGTCTTTAATCGTATTGTAATGTACACAACATTGAAATGCAAAGGATGGGCTTATCACGATCATTCTGATTCACTTCCGCACTTTTAACTGGATACAGCTGAAAAGTAGACAACAATCATGTTCATTGTCCATATATGGTTCTCACCAGATTTTTATTTTTACAGAGACTTTACCAATAAATTACCAGAGAAGAGATCAGTTGCACGAAGGTCGAATAACGCTATCCATTAAACTGAGTAGCAACGTTTTTGAGCGCTTCAAAAATATCTTAAAAGGGAAAAATCAACGATTCGAACTGGACAATAAATGAAATACAATATTGGTTCTAGAATTACAAAGTTTCATCATCATAAACAAAATATAACCATGCACATTCACAAATTTAAAAAACTACTATCCAATGGATAACGCCATCCACGCTTCGTGCAACAGGCTACAGTATAAATTTTAAAAAAAATTTAAAACAATAAAAACCAAAAATTGTCCAAATGGAAACCGCCAAACTGTTTTTCCGAAATTCCAGGGTCAAAGATCAAGAGATGTATTGATGTAATAGGTACTAAGCACCGATCGGCATAACAGACCTTCAATTTCTTATTGTCGTATTGTAAAGAATCTACGAAAATTTGACAAAACTTTTAGATTCAATAAATGATTAACTTCATTAAACTTCTTGAAAAATATGGGTATGTACCTCATAGGGTTTTGATACATGGTTGGATACTCTTTTCTGTGATGATTTTTGTAAGTAATTTATAATAACTTCATAAAATAGAAAGTTTGATAAAGGCTTTGAAAACTAAATTAATGTCCTGTTTTTATAAAAGATCAAATTGTCTTCCTAGCATTTTTTTTCTTACATTTATAAAACAAATAGCTCTTTCCCTTGAAAGAGACATCGTTCCTGCAAGTTCAATATAGTACGAGAATATTTTTGTGAACTTTATGTTATATCTGGGGTGTAGGTGACGTAATATTAAAAATAATAAAATATTAGACAAAAAATGTAAAAAACATAGGGATACATATTTCATTACCCTCTTTAAATTCCTCAAGGATATATCATTTCCCTCATTAAATACTATAACAATTTGAGTATACTTTTATAAACATTTTATAATTTGTATTTGAACGTTTACATCAGTATTTATACCAGTAAAGCAACTACAAATAGTCTCGATAATTCTGTCAATTAAACGCCTCTCTGGTTCAATGGAGTCTGGTGTATCACCAACATAATGACCATAAGCAATGAGTTTCTAAGAACAAAGAATATGAAATATTGAACTTTATATAAGATGAATACATGACCTACATAGACATATGGAGGGATAAAGGATTTTGGTGAAAAGACACATGAGAACTTAGAGGATTGGATATGAGTAAGTAATGTGGATAGATAAGGATAGCAATAATGACAAATATTTTGAAGTATGGATCCTCTAGATTATTCTGGGAGGAATTTAGGAGGAAAATAACTAAAAATGTTCTGTAGCAACTTTAGTTTGTGCTATCCAATTGTAATGGCTTAGAGACAACGCAATGACAATGCTTCCGAGATTAAATCTATTTCTTACAACTAAAGACTCCAAGTGTCCTAACACATCAAACAAAAATAACTTACTTGTATACAGTCAAGTGCAATGGTAACAATGCTGGCACATTTTGTTTGACAAACTTTTTCATTGATTAAATTTATTCCTAACAACTAAAGATGCCAAGTGTCTTTTCTGTATATTACATATTCTGTGCTTCAGCTAAGAACTTTGTTATGCACCAAGGGGAACTCTGGTATAACAACATTACAACAAAGCAACTTATCTCAGTATTACCTACAATGACCGTAATTACAACTGACCTGTAATTCAGCCATAGTATCTTCATCTTCTCGCTTGCTGGTGCTTGAGAAAAAGACGACATTGTCGATCATTTGAATAAGTTCCAATTGAACGACACACTTAATGATCAATGAATTGAACAACATCCTCTCCATCTGCACAACTAAAATAATGAGATGATTTTACGACGTTGAAGTACATACATGAAAAAATTGAAAAATGTCCCTCGGGTGTTGGTTGAACATTTCCGTATTCACGCTAAGACGGTTTTTTCATTTGTCGGTAAAAACTGAACTTTAATTTTGAATATGCCAAACAAAGGACAAATTTATCTTATTAGAGGTCTTCCAAAATAAAATAAAATAAAATAAAATAAGCAACGAATGCAAAAAAATAAAACAAAAATGAGTTTCTTAAGTTAGTGCTATTTTTATGAAAAATAAGTGTTAACAGGAGCAGTAGTAATAATTACTAATTAGTAACATTATTAGTTCTATTAGTAACAATTAAGAACATTATTGTTTCAAACATTGCAAAAAATGTAACTTTTTAGAACATAAGCAAATTCAGAAAATGTTACATGACGTCGCTGTTCACTTCAGATTGAGTTTTTCAAACGCATATATCAATTATACGTTTTGCTACGCCTTTACAATAAACCAAAGTAAATTAAACACGTAAATGGCAGCAGGCTGTGGCAACAAATTATTAATCTCAATTGATTTCTAACACATAGTTACCTGGTTCGTGTTCTTCGACAGGTTCAAATCGTAAACTAGGCGTACTATGTAAACTAATGCTGTCTTGTTCTTTGGTTTCTTCAACTGTTTCTTGAGGTATTTCCTCCTCCATTTCATTCAAACCTTTTGACGATTGCTGACCATCTTGTTCGTCCTCGTCTAAAAAAAAACGAAAAATTTTCACTTGTTACTCAAAGAATGCAAGTTGTTGGTCCATACGAGTTAAAGATTCACACGAGCTATATTGCAATATGCGAACTTTTGCTTTATATGAGCTTTTGGTTCAAATGAGCTTTTTTAATATGCGAGCTTTAGCTTACCATGAAATATTTTCCAATCATATAATGGAGACAATTGAAGCAAAAATTTTCCTTCAAAAGAATTCAAAAACATTTTATTTACCTTCCGGATATTTGGGCACGATATCATCCTCCAGGACGACAGGTGACATTATCTACAATATACGTCAATTTTAAGACTAATGAATACATAAAACAAACAGAATTGTTATGAAAGTTTGTCTATAATTTTAGAGTGTCGGACTTTAAAATTTTTAAAAAAATACTAAGGGCGGATTACATGATCCCAGTAGCCGGGATTCAGCCAAGCGTTAAATGATTTTGGCAAGTGGAAACGATTCAATACTTATCATCAGATAAATTTTTTCAAGCAATTTCACAATATTCTGATTTAATAACTACGCAAAACATTTAAAATTAAAACAACCAATTTGCCATAATTTGAGAATTACAACCGGAATGACGTGTGGCGCTTCGCAAACCTTGACGTCTTGGCTCTTTTCAATCCCTTGAAATCATCGGGCTAGCTCGCTATCCAGGACAGCTCGCCTCCATATAATCAGGCCCCAAGTGTAACTTACCTTGAGTGGTGATGACGCAGGAGTGACATCGGGTATGGGTAGACTCATTACTTGTTGGTCAGCGGGTCTCCATTTCAATAGTTCGTGAGGTACGGTTGATTCAAATATCGTCTTTACAAATTGACATGTCTTTTCCCAGACGTCTTCGGAGAACGTGTTGCCATTGGATATGACGAGATTTTCCAAACAATTTGTACCAGACCTCGCTAACTGCTCGTTATCTAAAGACATGTATTGAATGAACGAGCAAAGCAGGACATGGTGTTACAAAGCATTTACAGTCGAACCTGTAAGAAACTCTGATACTTCTTGTATACTAATGTACCTCAAACCAAACCAATCACAAACTCTCATAGTTCAAACCAATCACTAACTCTCATACTTCAAACCAGTCACAAACTCTGACACAACGAACCAATCACCAATGCATATGCCAAGCATAAACACGTTGCGTAATCTCAAGCTTACCTTGTTTGACACACCACTCTAGATGGCCATACATATCATCAAGAAGAATTTCAGCAAAAATATCAAAATACTGAGTAAAAACATCGATGATAGCATATAGAACATGATTACAAGTTGTTGTCATCCATTCTGATTTCTATAAAGAAACATCACAAATTTCAAAACATTCTCAGCTGATGTCTAACTTTATAACGAGGAAATACAACACCTTATACACGGACTTTTTTCTATGAAAAGGAAACGACTTTCCCACAGTTTAACATTATTCCCTCCTGATTTAAAGGCAAAAGCATTCTTTACAGTTACGAGGAAATAATCCAGATAAATATTCGACAATTTCATTCATGAAAGTTAATGTTGAAATGACACAAAATAAATATCGTAATAAATATCAAAATATAAAAAGTCTAAATTAGAAGATTTTTACACTTTGTTCATATTATTGAAATATATTAATTTTAAAGAGCATCTTTATTCAATCGTACAAACTTTAGATCTAAACAGAAAATGTGAGAAGAAAAATTACGTTTAGTTATATTATAGTTTACTTTATAATTTAACGTTGTATTAAAAATTTTAGTTTACTCATAAAAAATTTAGACTTTTTTTGTGAAAACTTGGTATCATATAGTGCCTAAAATGAAAGATAATAATGTACTTACTGGTTTGAATTCTTTGCTTTTCTGCCATTTTCTGGATTTTTAAGCTGTAAAAAGAAAACAATTTTGAATCATTTTAGGAGCAATCCGAATTTAAAAATAGTAAATTATTAACAAAGAAAGACGCAGATCTTTCAAAGAAAAAAGGAAGATAAAAAACTTTTTGCCATTAACTGATTGATACATTGATATGTATAATATATGGATAGTATTCATTGTTAAAAATTTAACGTGAAGTTGTGCAGAGTGTATGCCCCACATTTCTTTAAATATATATTGACGATGTGATCATTTTCTGCTTTCATGCGCTTTATATGTTTCCTATAGCTTTTGTTGATCTTGGACATTTAAAAAACATGAAGTGATACTTCTAGTGAAAAAATCACATCTGATTCGTGTTCATACATAGCTACTGAAAATGGGATGTATAAGCTTGTACAAGCCGAGAAACATAACTTAAGGGGTTGAAATTCTCTATCGATCTTCCTCTCCAATTGATAAAAATTTATCTTGAATCAATGCTTTGTAAAAGGAATAAAAACGCGAAAACTGTGATTTTCTACTACAAAAGTATAGTAAAGTGGGTCCTACAGCCCCCAACGAAGGTCATAAGCAAATGCGCATACTTCCGGTTTCAATTTTCCTATATTTTATACATGGTGCGCTATCCATATATTATACATATCAAAGGATTTATACCTTACTTGTTGACGAAGCACTGATTGGGTAAAAAATTAAGACAGACAACCAATTTCAAACTATTTTATAACAGCCAATACGCAACGGTGAACATTTAACGAAATACGAAGGAGGGGAGAGAATGAGGAGACATGTGACTCAGTTATATAGAAAGTAAAAAATGTCCTTGAGTTTCTGTATCCAGAATATATATTTATCTATAGTATAGCTCATGTACTTCAAGTGTTTTATAGATAAACTAAAACGTCCATTTCAATATAAGACAGTTTCATTGTTGCATACAGTACGTATAACATTTTAATAAGTTTAAAAAATCCACTATTCAGTGTAACGTAATCATGGTTTCGTGCTATAAACCATTGAAGTAAAATACATCTGGAACGCTACCTATAATAGAAAAGTCTAATAAATTCTTAAAGCCAAATTTTACACCCAGACACGCGTGTGTAGTCAATCAATTTTCAGAATCTCGAAACACTACACACGCGTGTCTGGGTGTAAGATTTGGCTTCAATTATTTGCTTCAGTTAACGTTCCATGTATTTTAGTTCAGGTAACGTTTCATGTATTTTAGTTCAATGCAACAAACACAACACTGCGAAAACAATATATTTATTCACAACTTAACTTTATATACTCACTCTATTTGTTGGTGCTACAAATGCATCTATGACCAACCATTTTTGCTTCAAGATTTCAACATCTTTATCTGTCAGAGGTTCACGAATACGTAATTTGACTTCAATCTTTCCACCAATCACCTTGCGACCTTTCTCAGGATCCGTAAGCTGCAATTGTAATTAAGTCCATTTACGACAGCAATCGTTCTTACGTACGTAAATTTTGAATCGAGATAACATGTATTTTAAGTGACATTATGTATGACAGAGTGGTGCCACTCGTAGGGGAAATCCCGTACAATAGGGGGATTTAGTGTTTCGTAGGTGGTAGGGGAAACCTACGGGGAAAGCTGTAAAATGTAGGGGATTGTAGGGAGAAAAGAAAATCGTTTAAAAATGAGTCTCATTTTTGCCCAAAATACTCTTTTCTTCCTGTGCTCTCACCATTTGGCAAGTGATTGTAACAGAATCTTTCTTTTGGCACATTTTGTGACCATATATGGCAATAGAAGATCAGCAACTTAGATAAACTCAGTGTGTCATTTGCTCCACATGCATGTCATTACTTCCTATGCCAAATTACTAACTTTGTCGTCTAGATGTTCTTAGTTTTCAATGAATCTTTTTTTTGTATGCATTTCTTAAAAACAGACTAGAAAATTCAATGGTCCGACGCGACGTAGGTATATAATAGGGGGTATAATGTTGTATAGGGGGAAAGTAGGGGAAAACAAAGAAAATCATTGTAGGGGAGGTAGGGGGGAAATAAAGTTTTCGTAGATGAAATGTGGCAGCACTGACGTATGATTTGTTTATCAAATAATGGAGAACTAACTGGAAAACTAGTTCTAGTCCTTTTTTTGCCTTTACAGATCACGTGGCAGACATTAAGAAGATGGTGAAGTCTGAAATGCTACATTGGATAAACATGTCTATATTTGTACAAAGCTTATACTATACGCGTATAGTTCGGCATTTTTGCTTACCGAAATGTTGTCTTCAAATTTTAGCGGGTGGATGGCCGTCCAGTTATATATAGTTCAATGTTTTAAACACAGTTTCTGCAATTATTAATTCATAAAGTTTAAAAAAATACCACACATTATTTACATTAAGACATTCGTGAATTTCACATCTTTTATCAAACGGTGATAACTTAAGAGAAGCTTCACCCAGCGTCTTGTCACCTTTCATTCATTCCTCTAAATGGTTTGAACATTTACTGACGATAAAAAATATTTCACATAATGTAAAACAATGAAACATCCATCTCACGTACGACAAACCTGTTGTATTTTATTTCAAATTTCACACTTTGTCGTCGAAATATTCTCGCCAACGATCGGTTTTTTCTGTCGATAGATATCTTAAACTTTTGATCAAATTCTATACGAAAAAACAGCGTAATTGCTCATTGATGTAGAACAGGGGTCTCCAAACTACGGCCTGCGGGCCAGATGCGGCCCGTTGGGCCTCTCAATCCGGCCCGCAGAGGCACTTCAGAAAAAATAATATTATTATTAAACAAAATAAATTTTGTGCAGAAAGTTCACGTTATGTCGCAAGCCAAGTAGCAAGAGTGGCTTACCTCAATTTTTCTCCCAACTTCCGTTTCAAGCACCCTGCGAAATTTAAAAAGCTGAAGGATAACGTGGAAATTTTTTATATTCTTCGGCCCGCAACATGCTGGATGAAATTTCATGTGGCCCTCTGGCTGTAAAGTTTGGAGACCCCTGATGTAGAATAATGAATTTAATGAGGGGGGAGGTTCTAGCATATCAAAAAAGCTTACAACCACAACATTGGATATTATTGACGTCATGAGTATTTAAGTAACACGACCATTCTGTCCATAGCATTAAACTGAAATAGATGGAACGATACCTGTAATACAAAACTCTAATAATTTTTGAAGCCATGATTTTACTCAAGACTCGCGAGACTTTACCCCAGACACGCGTGTGTAGTCAATCGATTACTTCGCGAGAGAATCTCGAAACAATAAACACGCGTGTCTGGGGTAAAATCTCGCGTGTGTGGCGTAAGATAAGGCTTCAATTATTTGCTTGAGGTAGCGTTCCACGTATTTTAGTTCAATGCTCCATAGTAAAGTAACTCCTCCCCAGTCCCAACTCACACCTCAATACAAGATCATGCAGGAATTCAATGCTGTATGATATCATTCATTTCGAATAAAACTTACCAGGATTAATGTTGTGTTTGATGGCTTCCATGAAGCCAGTTTAAGGTTGATCCTAAAGTTGCGTGATTTTAAAATTTAGTGTAGACAAATAACATTGATATAAGAAAAGTGAGAAAGTGTTTGTTACATGAGCAAAATCTGTCGTTTGCAAAACATAGAATTTGTTCAACGGTAATGAGAACAACTGCTTGAACAATGATTTTATTGTCTAACAAAATTCTTAACAATGCTTCCATTGTTTATCACAATTGCACGCTCTTGCGTTGAGTCTAAACATGCAAAGATGTCAATTCACTCTTCAGAGATCAAAGGTTTCTCACTTTTGGTAATTTCCACATGTAAAACAAGCGACCATCCTTACGACAATCAACATCTTCGTGTGATATTCTCAATTTCATCACAACTTTGACAATGTTACAGTGTTGAATTCTCCAAATATAAATTTGAAAGTTGACGGGAATCATAGAATGAAAAAGATCTTTACTTCACATTACAAAAAACTAATCTCTCTCTGTTCATGATATTTTTACATAATTAAAAACTGACAGTTTTTCCACGGTTAAAACAAAGGATATGGACAATTTTTTCTGCAATATTTTTGAGTTCGTTGTTCATACCATAAATAACTGTCCTTTTGTGATATAAAGAACTTTTTATTTTCGTTTTAAGTGATAATTAATGTTAGTAAATACAATAGGTTAATATAACTACAAAGGTTGACTAAGTGGATTATTCAGGTACATTAAGTTTTAAAAATTTAATTCCGCATCCACCATTTGTTACTATAGCTAAAGTTCCCGTGTTGTAATGCATAGTTATATCAAATACAGAATCTAATCCATAAAATTTAGCAAATATTTTTTCCTTCTTTAAATCTGCAGCAATCAATGCGCCGTCAAACGATTTTCCAATGCAATACGATTTATGTACGATTTCGTCTACACCATAAAAAGTGTCCATTAATTTATCAATCAAATTGGCATCACCGTTCTCATCAATTAAATAAAAGAGCAGATCATCGTCACTAAAATTCATTGTAACGACTGCTTGTTTATTATCACTTATAAAGCAATTGAACGAGACATCTGAAAAAAGAGATGCACCTAAGATTAACACATCATCAATGAAATGTATTTTCCAAGGTTCCAAGTAAAGTTCATTGTTGTTATTTCTCCATTTCCATATTGTGTATTCTGTTTTGTTTACAGTTAAAATAACAGAATTATCAGGTGATACAGCTGCTGCTTTAAATTCTGAACTATCAACAGGAAGTCTTTTGTTGTATTGTATCTCACCCTTGGTAATTCTAGCAACTTGAACAAACTTTTCTTCTTCAATACAAACTAAGACATCAGCAAATGTTAAGATTTCTACAGGTTTAAATCCAATGTTAACATACTTTGCTTGAGTAGAATCTACAAAATTTTCAGACGAAGTTGATATCTTCATAAGATGATCAGAACCATCCCATATCCACAGTAAACCATCCGACCACCAACATCCTAATGCATTCTTCAGTTGTATTGGTACAGTTTGAATAATAGTGCAATGTTCCATGCTCCAAATATGAATGTTGACGTGGTCACCAACAGCGAAAGCAGCAAAAAAAGATCCATCCGGTGAAAAACAACAACATTTAATTCTAAATTTCTCAAAGATAAATGAAGGTCTCCAAAGATGATCAGTTTTGATAACTTTAAGCTTGGAAAAATACGGCACAACGTAAAATTCCTTAAACGAGATGGGATGGACTTTGTTAAGATAACTATCAACACATGGACACCAAACATCTGGGAAATGAAACACGATTTCTCCTTGATCGTTGTATTTTGTCAACTGAGTGATTTCAAAAAGCTTTACAAGCTGGTTAGTATGATAAAAAGTACAATCACAATAATGGTGTGTTATATTTGAGATTGCAGGTTGTAAATAGTATTCTTGAACAGAAAAAATATCGATTGCCTTTGGGAATTGAAAAACATACGAAGTCTCGACGAATTCTGCAACAAAGAACTCTGAACATTTATCGGTGAATTGTAGTTTTTGGTAATCGACAACGCAGCGTCGATCGATTCTTTCCAAAGTTAATGAATTCCATGCAGTGAACACTTTTATAAATGTGTTCATAAAGCGATGATGCTCCATTTCGTCATTTTCTACATATTCTGCAGTAATGAACAAACCAGAATCTAAGAAAGAGCAACGATTAACGACATCATCTGACTGTAAACATAATAACAAACGTCCTTTGTTAACGTCCCACAACTTTACTTCAGTAGATCCATCACTAGTTACCAGTCTATTTCCGGTAGGTGAAAAGGAGCAACAACAGACGTTTCCACGAACAAAACCAAATTCCTTTGATGTTGATAAGTCATAGATGTTATACAGGGTCATAAATTTGTTTACATCATCCCATTTATCCAACCTTGAAGCATCGAGTGCAGTGCCGAGAGTGCATCTTTCTGTAAATTCAGGAAGCCCAAAAATAGATATTTGACCATTGTCATATCCTACAGCAAGAAGTTCTTTATTGGACGACACACAAAGACATGTAACGTTAGCACGCAAGGAGACAGTCAAATGATGATGGTTTGTTAAATATGTTGAGTCTAAATCCTCAAACCAAACAAGCTTTCCTTGTTTTAATAAATCTCTTGCCAATAATCTTCTTTCGCTTTTGCTATCAATTCCGTTTGCAATAATTTGTAAATAAGATAAGATATCATCTAACGTTGACGCATATCTTAATGTCTTAAACAAATGAAATAGTTGTTCATTAAGTTCATCTCTTTCTAAAGTTAGTAGTTTCTTATAGAATTCATTCAATTCAAACATAATGGTAAGCACGTCAATGTCGTCCACACACATTAACCTCGCACAAACCACTTTGACATCAACTACCCAGCTAAAGTCAACAGTTTCACCACATTCTGACATATGATAGATTCCATTCTTCAAAGCATATTTAATCATAGCACTGTTCATCTGATCTTCAAAAATGTTCATCAACTTAATTTGTTCAAACAATTTCTCACAAGCATGCCATAAGAACTTATGACCATTTTTTGGATTAACTGTAAACTCATGCTGTTCGTAACCATCTGAATTCAACCAATCAATTACAGATTTGTGATACACGGTTAAACAATCATCGTAAACTGGCAAAATTTGAGATAACAGTTCAATGATGTCACCAGAAAAACCTAAATAGCTAAGCAATAAAGTTAATGGTAAAAACTTCCGACAGGAAGCCAGCACTTCAAGAAATTGCATGAAAGTAGTTTCGGAGATAACAGAATTTCTGGGACTTTTCTTCGTTAACAATTCTTTTACTCTTTTGAATTGCTTTGTGTAAACACCGCTTAACCCACTAGGGACCAATTGTTGAATGTTTTTGTAAGTAAGCTCAATATTTTCCTCTTTCAAGCTCAGTTGTGCGTAATACGCATAAAGAAATGATCCCTCACATTTTTTAACTAATGGCGATAGAACGTAGCGATCTCTCTGCACACGATCATTCAACTGATGTCTAAAATACTTGTGCAGGTCTTCTTCATTGTTTTCATCAAGAGGATTAGTTGTAATTTCCACAAGATTCATGTCTTTCAACTCCTTTTGAACAGAAAGTTCAGGACGACTGGTGAGGAAGATTTTAATCCATTTAGGCAGTCGGTCAAACTCTTCTGCAATCAATTCCAACAATTCACTCTTGCCATCAACTTGGCTTTCATCTAAGGCATCAATAACCAAAAGCATTGGTCCATGATCTTCCAATGAATGCAATGAATTATTTAATACAACAAGGAATTTATCGGTGATCGATTCTTTGGAATGGTTTCTCTGTAATTCTTCATTCAGTTTATTTCTAAAATTTGATATTGTATCACACATGCTACTGGCCAATGATTCTATCAATATTCGAGGATTTCTATAATCTGATCTATTATATCTGCAGAAATGACAAGCAGCAAATTTCTTCTTTTCAGAATATCGTCGACACAACTCAGCAGCGAACACACTTTTCCCAACACCTGGACCGGCAATCAAAATCATGACATTAGAAGTATCTTCACTTCTATCTTTAAAAAATGTGTCGACTTTTTCAAATAACCATTGTCTAGTGCCTTCAAGGTATTTCTTGTTAAGATCTTTTATAAGACCATTAAAATTACACTTTCCAAGCTTCTTGAGATCTGAGCATGTTTTATCCTGTATCATTTCTCTCACTCTGGTTACATCAGCTTTTGTTGCCATATCTTGTTTAATTTCTACTACATCAGCTTTTGTTGGCATGCTTTCTTTAATTTCTTCTACTTTATTTTTCATAGCTTCAAAATATTTTTTTAATTCTTTTACATTTTCGCTAGTTTTCTCGGCGACATTGATTAACTGTTGTTCTTTTTCATACCATTCTTTTAACATTTCAAGATAATTTGCCTCATTGGGACTGAGGGGAGCTTTCTTTACTTCATCTATTTCAGTTTGTTGAATACCCAGACCAACCAATGCTTTTGAAATTTCCTGCCACAAGTTCTCAAACTCAGTGTCATTTACACTAGTTGTAGTTATGTGACCGTACACTTTGTTTCGATAAAACTTTATTCTTGCAATATTTGCTGAAATTGAGGTATCTGAATGTGAAGGATTATCCCATCCACCATTTGGGGGTGCTAGTCTGCATATATTTCGCAATAAGACAGTCAATAATGAGATGTCAAAGTTGTCAATGTCAGGTGATGAGCCATTTGAGGGGTAAAGAAGCTCCCATTGCTCTTTACTGATGACCCTTTTGTTTTTAAGCAAAGTCAATTTGTTCATTGTTGAAAGATCTTTAAGTTCATTGATCAAACTTGATGATCGAAAGTTAAAACTAAATCGCAATGTTGTTTTCAAAGCTTGGGCTCCTTTATTTATCAAAATTTTACTTAAACGAGATCCATTTGCCTCAATCTTCAGTTTTTGAGGTGCTGAAGCCATTTTCAAAAAAAAATTTTTTAGAATGTAATGTTGTGAATACTCTTACTTACTTTAATGAAGAATCGTTGGTTTTAATCGTGAAGCCTTTGTTTGAATTTCAAACTAAAAAGCAAGAAAAATAAAGGTAGAAAAATAAGTTACAACACTTTAAAATTAAACAAATCAACGGCCAACTGAAAAACTTAAATCAAAGTTCAAATATAAAACGTTAGTAAAATCTGTGATACAATATAACGAGTAGCTAAACAATAATGTTTTAAAAATAATGTTTTATAGAATCTTACTCACCAAATATGACCCCAAACGACTATTTCTACATTTCAACACTTATTTCTTTGTTTCACAACGTTGTGAAGGCGTGTGTGTCTTTAAACGTAAGGAATGGGCTCATCACGTGATCATTCTGATTCACTTCCTTGTAACTGGATACAGCTGAAAAGTAGTTAACGATCATGCTCATTGTCCATATATGGTTCTCACCAGATTTATGATTTTAACATAGACTTTTATAATAAATTAACAATATGATTTCGAAAAATTATTAGAATGGAAAATAGGCCAAAATGCATCCAAATATCGATCCAAATGGCCATTTTTCGTCAAAGTTTGAGTTTCCAAACCAAAGATCAGCAGCTATAGTCAGACAATAGTTGGTACTACTTGAGTCAGTCGTTTTCAAACGACTAAAAGGATCATGAAAAAATACATAAATTATGTAGAATTCTTTGAGGGTTTAACCGTTTTGTGCTCATGAAAATTAGAAAAACTGAAAAACAGCAAAAGAAATGAGCAACAGACAGTTTTTCTGGAAACGTGACCTGGCTTGTCGTGAATTTTATCAATTTATCAATAATAATATGGACGATGTAAAACTTATCGGTATAAAAAAGTATACGGGAAGAAATTTTTATAAATAATCAAAACAAGTAAAGTATCTTTCTCTTTCTGTAAGCATAAACATTACTAAAGAAGTAAGAGCATGGTAAAATGGGAACTTTTTACGTTAAATTACGCACATGCATTTGTCATGGGAAGTTTAAAGCATTGAGTTGCTGAGGAAGACTTTCTTTCCAATCGTGGCAAAGAGGAAACTTTGTAATTTTATATTGTTGAATGTTTAGTATATATAGAGGCTGCAAACGCTGTTTCAGGTTGTTTCAATACGCATTTTCGATGGTCGCATTTTATCGACGCATTTGTTTAATGCATGGTAACGCATTGAGTTGAAGTCTTGAAGAGACGTATTGGATAAGCATTTTTTGATTTTAATACTCGTGGTAATGATCCAACGTTTGTCGTCAAAAGAATCGTGATTTAGCATTCCACACAACAGAACACTTAAGTTGTGCGACAATGGCACTATAAATCTATAATTACCTATCAATGTGGTAATGTATAGTTGCATAATGTATAATGCAAATCGTTTGTGGTTGATTTAAATAATAAAATATAGTCTTTTTTGTTGATAAACAGATCATTTGTGTTTATATGATGAAACGCAATTTGATAAACTAAGCATAAATATATATTATCGTATTGTCCAATAGATGAGCGCAATTTAGCTTATAGTTTCGTTTCACGTTGATTTTTCTTTTCTCAGAAGTTGGAATCGTCTTATATACGGCATAATATCATCTGTGTATCTACTGAAAATGTGGATGCACAGTCAATGAATCCAAGTGGACGAGTATTCTGCCATTTAGTCAAACCTTACAATACAACGAGTAGCTAAACAATACGGCTTTAAAATCAATGTTTTACACAATTTTACTCACCAAATATGACCAAAGCGACTATTTTCTTCTTTTCCGCACTTATTTTTTTCGTTCCACAACGTAGAGTCACAGTTTTATATTGAGATATTTCTTCAATTTTGTCTTTAATCCTATTGTAATGTACACATCATTCAAATGCAAGGGATAGGCTCATCACGAGATCATTCTGATTCACTTCCGCACTTGTAACTGGATACAGCTGAAATGTAGACAATAATCATATTCATTGTCCATATATGGTTCCCACCAGATTTATGTTTTTACATAGACTTTTATTAAAAATTACCAATATGATTCCAAAAAATTATTAGAATAGAAAATAGGCCAAAATGTATCTAAATATCGATCCAAATGGCCTTTTTTCGTCATAGTTTGAGTTTCCAAACCAAAGATCAGCAGCTATAGTCAGACAATCGTTGGTACTACTTGAGTCAGTCATTTTCAAATGAATAAAAAGATCATTAAAAAAATACATAAATTATGTTGAACTCTTTGTGGCTTTAACCAATTTGTGCTCATAAAAATTGGAAAAACTGAAAAACAGCAAAAGAAATGAGCAACAGACAGTTTTTCTGGCAACGTGACCTGGCTTGTAGTAAATTTTATCAATTAGTCAATAATAATATGGACGATGTAAAACTTATCAGTATAAAATAGTATACGGGAAGAAATTTTCATAAATAATAAAAACAAGTGAAGTATCTTTCTCTTGCTGTAAGCACGAACATTACTAAAGAAGTAAGAGCAAAGAGGAAACTTTGTAATTTTATATTGTTAAATGTTTAGTATATATAGAGGCTGTAAACGCTGTTTCCGGTTGTTTCAATACGCATTTTTGATGGTCGCATTTTATCGACGCATTTGAGTAATGCATTGTAACGCCTTGAGTTGAAGTCTTGAAAACACGAATTGGATAAGCATTTTTGGATTTTAATACTCGTGGTAATGAACCAACGTTTGTCGTCAAAAGAATCGTGATTTAGCATCCCACACAACAGAAAGCTTAGGTTGTGCGACAATGGCACTATAAATCTATAATTACATATCAATGTGGTAATGTATAATTCATGCAAATCGTCTGTAGTTGATTTAAACAATAAAATATAGTCGTTTTGATAAGTAAACAGATCATTTGTGTTTATATGATGAAACGCAATTTGATATACTAAGCATAAATATATATTATCGTATTGTCCAATAGATGTAGCGTTATTTAGCTTATAGTTTCGTTTCACGTTGATTTTTCTTTTCTCAGAAGTTAGAATCATCTTATATACGGTATAATATCATTTGTGTATCTACTGAAAATGTGGATGAACAGTCAATGAATCCAAGTTGACGTGTATTCTGCCATTTAGTCTAACCTTACAATACAACGAGTAGCTAAACAATACCGCTTTAAAATCAATGTTTTACACAATTTTACTCACAAATATGACCAAAACGACTATTTCTTCATTCCCACACTTATTTTTTCGTTCCACAACGTAGAGTCACAGTTTTATATTGAAATGTTTCTTCAATTTTGTCTTTAATCGTATTTAATGTACACATCATTCAAATGCAAGGGATGGGCTCATCACGAGATCGTTCTGATTCACTTCCGCACTTGTAACTGGATACAGCTGAAAAATTGTCCAAATGGAAATCGCCAAACTATTTTTCCGAAATTCCAGGGTCAAAGATCAAGAGATGTATTGATGTAATAGGTACTAAGCACCGATCGCCATAACAGACCTTCAATTTCTTATTGTCGTATTGTAAAGAATCTACGAAAATTTTTACAAAACTTTTAGATTCAATAAATGATTAACTTCATTAAACTCCTTGAAAAATATGGGTTTGTACCTCATACGGTTTTGATACATGGTTGGATACTCTTTTCTGTGATGATTTTTGTAAGTAATTTATAATAACTTCATAAAATAGAAAGTTTGTTAAAGGCTTTGAAAATTAAATTAATGTCCTGTTTTTATAAAAGATCAAATTGTCTTCCGAGCATATTTTTTCTTATATTTATATAACAAATAGCTCTTTCCCTTGAAAGAGACATCTTTCCTGCAAGTTCAATATAGTACGAGAATATTTTTTGTGAACTTTATGTTATATCTGGTGTAGGTGACGTAATATTGAAAATAGAAAAAAATTTGACAAAAAATGTAAAAACATAGGGATACATATGTCATTACCCTCTTTAAATTCCTCAAGGATATATCCTTTCCCTCATTAAATACTATAACAATTTGAGTATACTTTTATAAACATTTTATAATTTGTATTTGAACGTTTACATCAGTAATTATACCAGTAAAGCAAGTACAAATAGTATCGATAATTCTGTCAATAAAACGCCTCTCTGGTTCAATGGAGTCTGGTGTATCACCAACATAATGACCATAAGCAATGAGTTTCTAAGAACAAAGAATATGAAATTTAGAACTTTATATAAGATGAATACATGACCTACATAGACATATGGAGGGATAAAGGATTTTGGTTAAAAGACACAAGGGAACTTGGAGGATTGGATATGAGTAAGTACTGTGGATGGATAAGGATAGCAATAATGACAAATTTTTTGAAGTATGGATCCTCTAGCTTTTTCTGGGATGAATTTAGGAGGAAACTAACAAAAAAATGTTCTGTAGCAACTTTATTTTGTGTTATCCAATTTTAATGGCTTAGAGACAACGAAATGACAATGTTTCCGAGATTAAATCTATTTCTTACAACTAAGGACTCCAAGTGTTCTAACACATCAAACAAAAACAACTTACTTGTATACTGTCAATCGCAATGGTAACAATCCTGGCACATTTTGTTTAAGAAAAATTTTTCATTGATTAAATTTATTGCTAACAACTAAAGATGCCAAATGCCTTTCCTGTATATTACATATTCTGTGCTTCAGCTAAGAACTTTGTTATGCACCAAGGGGAACTCTGGTATAACAACATTACAACAAAGCAATTTATCTCAGTATTGCCTACAATGACCGTAAATACAACTGACCTGTAATTCAGCCATAGAATCTTCATCTTCTCGCTTGCTGGTGCTTGGGTAAAAGACGACATTGTCGATCATTTGGATAAGTTCCAATTGAACGACACACTTAATGAACAGTGAATTGAACAGCATCCTCTCCGTCTGCACAACTAAAATAATGAGATGATTTTACGACGTTAAAGTACATACATGAGAAAATAAAAAAATGTCACTCGGGTGTTGGTTGAACATTTCCGTATTCACGCTCAGACGATTTTTTCATTTGTCGGTAAAATTCGAACATTTGAATATCCCAAACAAAGGGCTAATTTATCTTATTAGAGGTCTTCTAAAATAAAATAAAATAAAATAAGCAACGAATGTAAAAAAATAAAACAAAAATGAGTTTCTTAAGTTAGTGCAATTTTTTATCAAAAATAAATGTTAACAGGAGAAGTAGTAATAATTACTAATTAGTAACATTATTAGTTCTATTAGTAACAATTAACAACATTATTGTTTCAAACATTGCAAAAATGTAAATTTTTAGAACATAAGCAGTTTCAGGAAATGTTACATGACGTCGCTGTTTACTTCAGATTGAGTTTTTCAAACGCATATATCAATTATACGTTTTGCTACGCCTTTCCAATAAACCAAAGTAAATTAAACACGTAAATGGCAGCAGGCTGTGACAACAAATTATTAATCTCAATTGATTTCTAACACATAGTTACCTGGTTCGTGTTCTTCGACAGGTTCAAATCGTAAACTAGGCGTACTATGTAAACTAATGCTGTCTTGTTCTTTGGTTTCTTCAACTGTTTCTTGAGGCATTTCCTCCTCCGTTTCATTCAAACCTTTTGACGATTGCTGACCATCTTGTTCGTCCTCGTCTGAAAAATAATACGGAAAATTTTCACTTGTTACTCAAAGAATGCAAGCTGTTGGTCCATACGAGTTAAAGATTCACACGAGCTATATTGCAATATGCGAACTTTTGTTTCATATGAGCTTTTGGTTCAAATGAGCTTTTTTAATATGCAAGCTTTAGCTTACCATGAAATATTTTCCAATCTTATAATCATGGAGACAATTGAAGCAAAAATTTTCCTTTAAAAGAATTCACAAACTTTTTATTTACCTTCCGGATATTTGGGCACGATATCATCCTCCAGGTCGGCAGGTAACATTATCTACAATATACGTCAATTTTAAAGGTAATAAACACATAAAACAAACAGAATAGTTATAAAAGTTTGTCTATAATTTTAGAGTTTCGGGCTTTAAAACTTCATAAAAAATACTAAGGGGCGGATTACATAATCCCGGTAGCCGGGATTCAGCCACACGTTAAATCATTTTGGCAAATGGAAACGATTCATAACTTTTCATCAGATAAATCTTTTCAAGTAATTTCACAATATTCGGATTTAATAACTACGCAAAACATTTAAAATTAAAACGACCAATTTGCCATAATTTGAGAATTACAACCGGAATGACGTGTGGCGCTTCGCAAATAGTTGTAATTTTTAACCTTTAAGTTTTAGCTCTTTCCAATCCCTTGAAATCATCGGGCTAGCTCGCTATCCGGGCCAACTCGTCTCCATATAATCAGGCCCTAAGTGTAACTTACCTTGAGTGGTGATGACGCAGGAGTGACATCGGGTGTGGGTAGACTCATTACTTGTTGGTCAGCGGGTCTCCATTTCAATAGTTCGTGAGGTACGGTTGATTAAAATATCGTCTTTACACTTTGACATGTCTTTTCCCAGACGTCTTCGGAGAACGTGTTGCCATTGGATATGACGAGATTTTCCAAACAATTGGTACCAGACCTCGCTAACTGCTCGTTATCTAAAGACATGTATTGAATGAACGAGCAAAGCAGGACATGGTGTTACAAAGCATTTACAGTCGAACCTGTAAGAAACTCTGATACTTCTTGTATACTAATGTATCTCAAACAAACCAATCACAAACTCTCATACTTCAAACCAATCACAAACTCTGACACAACGAACCAATCACCAAGGCATATGCCAAGCACAAATACATTGGGTAATCTCAAGCTTACCTTGTTTGACACACCACTCTAGATGGCCATACATATCATCAAGATGAATTTCAGCAAGAATATCAAAATACTGAGTAAAAACATCGATGATAGCATATAGAGCGTGATTACAAGTTGTTGTCATCCATTCTGATTTCTATAAAGAAACATCACAAATTTCAAAATATACTCAGCTGATGTCTTATTTTATAACGAGGAAATACAACACCTTAAAAACGGACTTTATTCTATGTGAAGGAAACGACCTTCCCGCAGTTTAACATTACTCCCTCATGATTTAAAGACAAAAGCATTGTTTACAGGTGGGTAACTTTCACAAACGAGTGTTTCAAACCTTCCATACTGGTACAAATCGTTTACACAAAATGCAGTCGGTGTGTGAATAGGGAATGCAAGAGGATAAGAATGGATAGAGAATGAAGTAAATACGAGTAGATATACAGAATGAAGTGACTCTAGAATGAAAGTGGATAGAAGTGAATAAGAAATAGAGGAAGATATGAGGGGATCATTGAACTAAAATACATGGAACGCTATATGAAGCAAATAATTGAAGCCAAATCTTACACCCAGACACGCGTGTTTAGTGTTTCGAAATTCTCTCGCGGAGTAAAAATTGATTGAAATACACACGCGTGTCTGGGTGTAAAATTTTGCTTCAAAAAATTACTAAGGTTTTTTATTACAGGCAGCGTTCCATGTATTTTAGTTCAATGGAGTGGATACACAATTGAAATGGATGAGTGAATGAGAAATGAAGGTAGATAGACGTGAACACATGAAATGAATATTATTCCAATCAAAGCGCCACATAAGCCGGAAGTGACGCTTGCCATATAATAAGAGCACAATAATGACAGTTTTCTAACCTCCTGCCAATCTATCTGTCTGTCTGGTAGTTTCATGTTGTCGAAAATTCGAAACACGACTTTAAACACATCACGCCACCAATGTTGGAGAAACGTTTTCCCGTATGTTTTCATGATTTCAAACATCACAGTTAGGCCTCTAGTTGATGGATGGAAAATAGCTCACATTCAAATTATACAATACATACTAATCTATACAGTACATACAACTCAATATTTCCACATACCTTGTTCTGACATCTAGTTTACATCGGTTGATGATACACGAAAGCTCAAAAAGGACTGGAACCAGCCTTTCACCCAGATTATGTCCTGCTCTGATATCCCAGCACCATCTACTCCGTAGTCTTTAAACATCTGTTTATAAAAGAAAAGAAAACAGACGCCATTGGAAAATGCTACACGAAAAAGCGATTGAAATAGATGATTTCGATTTGATTTGATCCAAAGTGGTTAGCTTTGATGTGATTTTGCAAAATTTTAAATAATTTCAAAGGTGAAAAGAAAGTAGATTTGCAATCGTCGTACCACAGGATTTTCGGAAACAAATTTGGCGCAATTTCATATCAGTCTTATTACTTCCATACTCGTGTCCGGGAAACTTGCGTTGCATGCGAATTTCCAGAGACACTTGACGGCATCTTGGAAAGAATCGATGACCGCGGAGAAATATTTCTCAAAAATCGTGGCTGTAAGAGAAAATGGGTAATGTGAAATTTATACACTGATAATGTTGTGGGATAAATGAATCTGTCAAAGCTTTGATTTACAAGTGACGTTGAAACAGTAGAGAAACAGGGCTAGAAAAGTTCAAAAAACTCTGCCTTTTAACTAGTAATTTGCATCAACAAAAAAATGTTTCATACATTTATTTCATTTCTCCATTAACTCTCGTTTAATTTTCATTAATGCATCATGAGGCGAACATCTATCGACTTCACGGTAAATAAAAGTTTACCTTGAAAAATTATACAAATATGGCTGAATTACCATGGAAAAGAACGAACACATAAAATTCTTGTTGCAAAATAAACGAAGCTCTCTGTCACATCCGAGAAACACATTTACTTAAATGATATTCAAATTCAATTTGAACTTAATTTAATATTATTTTACAGATGCCTCAGTAGTCCAAGCTTGGAAAAGGATTCACCATCATTTCTTCAAACAAATGCAACCATTTTTATTTTAAAATTTTAAAATTTGCATTGATACAAGAAACTTACCCAAGAGTACAACAGACAGGTCGGCGGTAAGATTTGAAGAAAAAGCTCCTTCCTTAAACTACAAACCTGTTGTTTGAAAAGCGAGTTCCACGATTCCTTCATCATGATCGGACGCAGCCAAATGAAAAACGGAGAAAACATTTTTCCAACCAGATTTGATGTTTGCGGCTTGCGAATGCACCATTTGTGTGACACATCGTACGACCATATCACAAATTGTTGAAGAACTAAAATGTGAAAAATCCAGTTGTTGATTCAAGCAAATCGTAAACTGAAAATTGCAGTCCTTGTTGTAAAGTTCATAAAGATATCGAAGAAAGAATGTTAATCAAATCCTTCGAATTATAACAGACAAAACAGAGCGATTGATTGAAAGACTTCCTTTCTAAAATTCTTCGTAAAATTTAAACTTGGAAAAGAATCTGCAGTCTGCCACAAATTTTGTTTATTTGAGAGAAAGACTTTCAAGCTGCCAGAAACTTTACATTTTCTGACAGAATTGACTCCTGCATAAACTTACCTGTTTTTCTTTACTATGTATTCAAAGGGTCGGATAAAATCCTTTTGAAATCGGAAATTTGGCAATTCGCCTTTTTCCAAGAATTTCATGGATAATTGTCGCAAAGAGTCGACACAGAAGAAAGCAACTTCTTCATTAGGGTTACAACCACACTAAAATGGCACATAAATTATCTAAGATAGAGAAGTACTATAGTTGGTAGAACATTGGAGATGAAGGCATTGATTATCTTGTTTTTATACTTGAGATATGAAAGAAACTAGAACTGTGTTTTGAAATATCATCATAGTTCACAGTTGATCTGATAGTTTAGTTGATAGAACATTGGAGACAACGATTATCTTGTTACTATACCTGAGTACATCATAACAACGTGATGTTATTATCCATAATATCAAGATACAATCTTAGTCGTTAATAATCGCTAACCTTGTTAAAATGATCTCCCAACACAGCCCATATTCGTGACCACTGCAGCCGAATACGACCCATGTTGTAATAAGTAATCTCTACGATCTTCTGCAGACTAAACATACGTATCATTGTAGGATTGGAAAGCTCAACTTCCGAGACTTGACGTAAACCTTCCACGAAATCGACTTAGGAGAAAAACGAAAACATTTTGAGATTTGGATACAGAGATAACGCTACTTGGGATTTGAGAACTGGGGATTTGGATACTTGGGATTTGGTATTTGGGAACAGGGGATTTGGGGTATTCGAGATTTGGGTACTTGGGATAAAGAATGGTCAAGTTAGATGTATAAAAATCTTATGTAACATGAAGTTTAATGTATACATTCAAACCTACCGATGGCATCACCATCCAGTTTCACTGATCCCGTGAAAACTCTAAACGTAATAAAACACAATGAAGAAGTTGAGATGAAGATATTCTGCTAAGAGAACATAACGTATGGACAGTGCACGAGTTCTTCAAAATTATAGTTTCATGTTTATGTTCAAGGTTCTCTGGTTCACTTGAGCCTGAAGATGACTACCGCTAAGGATGTAAAAACGTCAGTCAACAATAACAATAACAGTCCTTCTCAGGACTCTGCTAACATGGACAATGAACATGTCTACATAGAGAATCATCCATCGACATTTCTTCACGCTGTTACAAGCCCCACTCCAGCTTAAAGACAATTTTAAAGAATTTCAACAATTCAACATTCAACATATTTTTGAATACATATTTATGTCCGGGAAAGGGTCACCAGGGGATGAATAGGTATGTAGAGACATTAATGTCGTTATTTCATACCCAAATATATTAAAATGAGCAGAATGTTGTGTGTTTATCAAATTACAGGCATGCTGAGTATGCAAGATATTCGTATTGCACAGCGGATTCCATCAAGACAAAATGAAGCTACAGAAGGATCGTCGTTGTCTTGTAGATTGACGCTGAACGCGGCAAGGAACG